CCCCCAGGCCACTACTGTTCTGTCTCTATGAATCTGATTCTCTTGGAACCTTCTATAAGTGGAACCTTGCAAGTATTTGTCCTTTTGTGTCTGGCTTACTTCACGTAGCGTAATGTCTTTAAGATCCACCCATGTTACAGCACGTGTCAGAGTTTCCTTCATTTTTAAAGCTGAATAATACTATCCCATTGTATATAGGTAACATTTCTTCCAGTGTTTTTCTGGACGGTTTGGCCATTATTTTACACTGTTGTGGTTGTACTGGTATGTTCTGTTTAGGTGAACATTCATGGGGCACCTCTCGTGTAACTTGCACTGGGTTCACATCAGAGGCACATCAGAGATGAATAGGCTCAAACTGTGTCTTCTAAGAGTGTAATCGAGCAGGGACATACAGGACCACATGATATGTCAGATCAGTAGTGTGTAATAGGTTGTGTGGTGCACAGAAGTGTACACAGTGGGAAGAGCAGGGGGCCAGTGGAGAGGGTGGTTAGAGCAAACTGGAGGCACAGGAGAAGCTGATGGGATAGTGGCCTGCACTTCAGGACTGTACCTGCTGACAGGAAGACAATAAAAAAAGTTCCAGAATCAGAAGCGTGGTGAGATGCGAGGGGTGTGTGTATGTCCCTGCATCCCAGTCTTCACACTTACCTGTTGTAACAGGAGTATTCAGTTGTCTATGCTTAATTTGTATACACACTACTTTTTAGGACCACAGGATATTCTGTTGGTGGAACTCTAATTTTATATAGCCATTTCCTGTTGTTGAACATATCTACTGTTCCTGCTTTCTAACTTTGACCATAACACTGATGAACATCTTTTAGTTTACATTCTAGTTTTGTATTTCCTTGAGATGGAGTCTCAGAATTGGAATTATCCGTGATGAACATTGGGGAGGCACGCAGGCGTGGGAGCTCTTCCTTGGACATTCGTGTGTGTGGGGAGTCTATGGAGGGCACTGCTGTTAGTCTGGCCATCTGTGGGGGTGGGCGGCCAGGACTTGGAGTTTTGCTTCACTCACACTCAACACATTTGACATGTATACTTGCAGGCACCTCCTTTCTTCATGAACTCAGTGCTTCATGCTACAAGATTCTAGGGTACCAGTGCTTCATAAAGGTCGGGGGTGGGGGTAGAGGAAGTCTGGCTCTACCAGCTGGTTTTTCAACTGTGTGGAGTTCCCTAGCAGTCAGCCCTGAGACCTCCCTGTTGGGCTCCTGAACCCCTTTGCTGGCACATTGTCTCAACCCGCTTTCCCCACGGGATGCAGGAGACAGAGAAGGTGACTGGATACAGTAATCTTATATTTTGGGGATGTGAGAGGAATGGTCCCAGCTTGGAGCATGTCTCATAGTGGAGCGGTTTGCTTTGCCTCTGCTTGCTCTAGAAGCACGCTCAAGGAGAAGAATGAATGAGACTGAGAAGTATAAGTCCCCAGAAGACAGAGTTAATATTAATTAAACGTTTAGATATATTTTACCTAGTATTTTGGCTTAAACCAAATTTAAAATCTGGTGAGACTATATTTTGGTCTTGCATATTTTGTATTTATATTTGATGGGACCCATTTATATAATAAATGTCGTGTGTCTAATTGGATGTTTGCCTTTGGGGTGTTACCAGTCATATCTATGTTCTTTGATACTGAGTCATAGAATTACACGCCCAGGGACTCTTCAGATGGAAAGGAACTTAGAAATGGTTTAATTTCACTGGTTAGCTGGTGTGGTAACACCTTTGCCAGCATCCCTGGTTGGTGTTCGTCCAGCTTCAGCTTTGGTAAAGAATGTGTCTTCCATTTATAATATTGTTTCTCAGGAAAGTAATGCAGTTTCTAGCAAGAAATTGTTGAGAAAAATGGGACAGTGCTGGATTTTAACCTATCATGTTACTCTTTAAAAAAAAAAAAAAAGTGAGGCATGAGCTGGGGCAGAGGGAGAGAGAATTGTAAGCAGGCTCCACACTCCATGCAGAACCCAAGGCAGGGCTTGATCCTACGACCCTGGGATCATGACCTGAGCTGAAATCAAGAGTCGGACACTCAACCAACAACACCCCTCATGTTAATCTTTATATAGAGAAGACTTTGGAAAATGCCTGAAAACCCACAGGTACTTTGGAGGCAGCATAGTTTAGTGAAAGGAACGTGGGCTAGAGGCTAGACACCTCTTCGGAGCTCTGTGACCTACAGCAGGTAATCTTACTGGAACTTGGTGACCACGCCCGTGCACTGGAACCGCTCATGCCTGCCTCTCAGGGCCTGTGTTACCTAGGAAAAGCTTAGGCTCTTTCTGCATTATTTCCCCCTTTGTGATGCTTAGGCCATACCACTGCTTTTCCAGTATATAAAATGTTTAGGGTTTTAGTTTAGAGAACATTTCAAATACCGTAGTGTTGTTGAGTTCGAGATACCTTGTTTTTAAGTCCTTGTTTGGATTTTTTTTTAAGTTTATTTATTTTGAGAGAGAGGGCTTGAGCAGGGGAGGGGTAGAGAGAGAGAGAGAGAGAGAGAGAGAGAGAGAGAGAATCCCAAGCAGGTTCCATACTGTCCATACAGAGCCCGACGTGGGGCTCGATCCCATGAAGCATGAGATTGTGACTTGAACCGAAATCAAGAGTTGGACACTTAACTGCCTGAGCCACCCAGGCACCCCTATTTGGGATTTTATTTTGCACTCGTTCTAGATATAATCAACTGGTACGTGCATAGCTAACTTGTGTATGGATTCTAGATCAAACTTCTATGAGGCAGAACCTGCCTTGTTCTTTTTTAAAATTTCCAATTTTATTTATTTATTTATTTATTTTTAATTTTTTTTTTTTAACGTTTATTTATTTTTGAGACAGAGAGAGACAGAGCATGAGCAGGGGAGGGTCAGAGAGAGAGGGAGACACAGAATCTGAAACGGGCTCTAGGCTCTGAGCTGTCAGCACAGAGCCCGACGCGGGGCTCGAACTCACGGACCGTGAGATCATGACCTGAGTTGAAGTTGGCCGCTTAACCGACTGAGCCACCCAGGCGCCCCTAAAATTTCCAATTTTTCACGACTCAATACTTATGTAAAAATACAGTAAGAATATCCCGGCAGTGTCCAGTTGCTATGAAAGTTTTTAAATGCTTATCTCAGTTTGAGTGCTTAGCTTGTTGTGGACTGGGACCAGTCTGCAAACCACAGTTTGAATAATACTTGTCTAGAAAACATTTGAGAAGCTAGTTCCAGAAAGAAAAGTGAGTTATCTGGTAAATACATTATTAAACCATTAATGTGTTCCTGGGCTGCCTTAGTTGCCGTGCTGTGACTGGGAACAGACTGTCCTGGAGAGAAGCCTACTGATGCTAGTGCAGGGCTGCTCTGTCACCTTGTCTCGGGGGCATGTCCCACTCTAGAACAGCCACCATCTCCCCAGCTGGGTCATTTATACGTTAGGCCTGACCTGCCCACTGACAAGTTGCTGTTTTACCAGCTCCCCGTGCTGCTTCTGTCTCTATTTCTCTCCCCTTTCTGGTCCCAGGAGTCCATGGCTGTACATGGCTTCCTTCCCCACGATCACAGATTCTTATTCTGCTCTTTTTTGGGACCTGTCTGGTTGTAACCCATCCTCGCCTGTATCCCCTTTATCTCTTAAGCCTCCATACTTTACAAATGTCGTTGTGGCCTGTCGAGGGAGTCACTCCTGGTGCCTCATGGGACCCTGTGTGCCCTGCCCCTCAGGCATTCAGCTAAATATTCTAGCCCTCATTTATTATCACCCCAATAAATGGGTATTTTTAGGAAGTGTGATAAGGTACTCCTCTGAATCAATTTTATCACACCCCTTGACATATCTTTTCAAGATCACGTGGCTTCACAAACACTAAGTTCTTGTCTTTTGCTGGTACTTGAATGTTCTTAATTTCTATTTCAGGGTTAGAATTTGAACTGAGAAAAACACACATGCATTCCTGAGCTCAAGTGTTCTTAGTTTGCCAGGGCGCTTCCACTGGGCATTACGTTGTTCATACTACCCCTGAAGGAAGCAGGGTGGGATAGGGTTTAAGTGCAAACTCAGGGACTAGATACACCTGAAATGAGCTGGGCCCTGTCCTTCACCAGCTGCTTGACCTTTGGGCAAGCTGGTTAATCTTTTTGAACCTCTGTAAAATGGGAATAACAGAATAAATCTCATGGGATTAATTGAGGTATTTGGCACATAATAAGCACTAAACAAATACTAGCTGCTGCTATTATTAGTATCATTATTACTAGTCCTATTTTCTATCTCTAATAAACACTGAAATGTTACAACATACTTAAATCAGGGTTTTCCAGCTTCAGCACTCTTGATAGTTTGGCTGGATAATTCTTGCTGTGGGGACTGTCCTGTGCATTGTGGAATGTTTTGCAGCATCCTTGATCTCCACTCACTCATTGCCAGTACTACCCTGTACCCTAGTTGTGACAGTCAAGAATGTCTCCATTTGTTGCCGGATGTCCCTAGCGGCGCAAAATCGTCTCAGGTTGAGACCCACTGCCTCAAGTAAATAAGTACGTTGGGCTTTCTAAGATTAAATAGAATTTTGTACATTTGGAATAGTTTGGAATGTCTTGAAACATTTTGCCTGAGCTCACAACCCAATTTGGATTTTTTACCACTTTGTGTGTAACTACGTGCGACCTTAAAAAGCTCTTGAATGAATTAGATGAGCCAAAGAGCTGGTGTCTGTGGGCAGAGTGGAGCGGCCGGTGCCCCCTCCCCTGGTACTGATGGCGGGCTCTTTTTGGCAGCCTACTGTAAGAACTCTGTGGACGGCCTCTGGTACTGCTTCGATGACAGTGACGTGCAGCAGCTGTCAGAAGATGAGGTCTGCACACAGACAGCGTACATCCTTTTCTACCAGAGGCGGACAGCTATTCCATCATGGTCAGCCAACAGCTCAGTGGCAGGTAAGGCCAGCCATTCTTCAGCAGCTTCTTCCTAGAGCAGAAGATTGTAATGGTCCAGAGAACTTCTCCACAAGGTCTCATGAGTCTGTTGTGTTGATCAGATAAATTCTCACATTTGAGTTTAACCTGGAAACCAAAATGACTGCAGTCAAGGAAATGGGGGTGGAATGTGCGAACCAGCAGAGTTCCCACGGAAGTGGGTAGCGCCGGTCTCAGAGTGAGCTTGCCATGTTTGCTTGTGGAACGAATGAATGAAAAAGCGGTATGGCTGCCACACTAAAAGCAAGAGGGAATGAGACCTGGCTTTGCCATGTTTCGGTCGCATCATCTGGAAGCACATCACATCCAAGCCACATATTTAAGCATCTGTAATGTGGGTGTACTAATAATATCTGCCTCATGGGGTCATTGCATGCATCAGATTACATAAATGTACGTTAGAGCCTTTTAGACCAAGTAAAAGCACCATTAGAAATCGTTCTTTTTCCCGATGAGGTCGGCCTGTTCGGTTGGAAGGGTTGAAGGCTATAGTAATGATAGGTGGGCTGGATTTAGCTGGATGGGGTTTAGTCTGGATGCAGCCACATGGTCCAGACAAGGTGACGCACGCTCCTTAACGCAGCGTCTAAGAGACTGTGACCGACAATGGAGACATGGTAACATCGGATCATGTTAGAGAGTATTCACCCTGAATCTCCTTGAAGCTTCCGAGGGATTGGTTTGAAGCCGCTGAGAAGAGGAACCGCTGAACCGAGTGAACCCCTGCTGGAGTGAAGCCCCACTCAGTGCACCCACCCCTCAGTAGCTGCTCACCCAGTTGAGAGAGTGAGAAGTCCAGTGCTCTAGTGCCTTCCCTCAGTGCTTTCCAGATTCTGAGATATGCTTGGAGATTACACCCTCTTGAGGTCTACTTGAGTCTTGTTCTTAGTTTCAAGAGCAGTTTATGTTGCTCTGGAATTTAAGGGCATCCCTGGAATGGACAGTACAGATGACATACAGCCTAGGTGTGTGCATGTTATGTGTTTGTATGTTAATATTGTGAAAACGACTTAACAATTCCACAAAGCAAGCTAAGAAATAACGGTGCACTGCGACTTTTATTTGCTCTGTGTCAGAATTTTTACTGTGTGTACTTAGAACGGTGCCTGGCAATAGGTGCTTAATAACTATTTGCAGAATGAGTATAGATGATTCTGTTGCCAGCACTTAAGATTTGCACTTTGCATTATGAAGTGTCCATGCCAATGCTTGCATTTTATTACTATAAACATGAGCTAGTCTGCCCTCCTTCTTTGCATCTTGATGGGATATTCAAGCAGGGGTCTGGGAGGTAAGACTGACACAGGCCACCCCAGCTCAGGCACTGCCCCTTCACACGAGTGTGTGCCAGGGAGCCAGCCTGGGACTCCAGCCTGACCCCAGTGCCTGCTTCCTTTACTGCAGGCTCCACCAGCTCCTCCTTGTGTGAACACTGGGTGAGCCGGCTCCCGGGGAGCAAGCAAGCCAGCGTGACCTCCGCGGCGTCCTCCAGACGCACCTCTCTGGCCTCATTATCCGAGTCGGTGGAGATGACCGGAGAGAGGAGTGAAGACGATGGTGGGTATGGGTTTTGTGACAGATTTCCAAAGTGGCATCTCACGGACACGGCACAGGGTCCCTCACGCTTAGGAGCTAGGCCCCAAGAAGATTGTCGGAGAAGGTAAAAGGGCTGTGTGGCTGTACGGTCATAAGTACCATTTTATATAAATCTGGTTATTTGCTTTTCCTCTGTGAGCTCTAGGATGAGTTTCTCCTTGTACTTCATTATTTTCTACTTCTAAGGCTTAGTGTGGAGGCTGGAGCTTTAACTCTACAATAAGGGATACATTTCTTTCAGAGCGCTTTCCAAAGTGCTCAGTGCTTTGCCCAGGGCCGCCTGGTGAGGAGTTGCTGTGCTCGCCCAGTGTGGGGGCTTCCCAGCTTTCAGCTTTTCCCCTTTCCACTGCCGTTTCCTTTATAGGAATTTGTGGCATGTTCTTTTAAGTGCAGAAGCATCTAGAACAGAAACTCTTGACTCTGCATAAAAGAATTCTGAAGATGGTCACAGTACGGATACTTGGGGAAACACAATACAAATAGAACTATGGGTTTTTTTTTTTGTTTTTTTGTTTTTGGGTTTGTTTTTTTTGTTTTGTTTTGTTTTGTTTTGTTTTGTTTTTTACCTTCACTTATGCTTGAGTAATGGCAGCCCTCAGTTCTGACAGGAACCCCAGGTGGTGCGGGAAGGATCAGGCAGCCCTAGCATTGAGGCTGGAGGAGGTGAGAGTGAGCTCAGCTTCTCTAATGAGGACAGTGACTCATCTCCCAAGCCTGCAGCCAGCATGTCGGTTGCTGTAATCTGCATCTAGTGATGGGTAATTGTGAGACCATGAAGTGAAGGAAAACTGTAGGAGGGTGGACGGGGGCCGCCAGGCCAGGGAGGTCTGCCTCATTGTAGCTCCAGGCCCGCTTGCTTTTCTGGCTTGTTGCCTTTTTCTTTGTAAAATAACAAGAGTACTGGGCCAGAATTGCTAACAAGCTCCTGATACTTTATGAAAATCCGACCACTGAGTCTTTGCTTTTTCAGGTAGAGGTTTTTCTCAACACAGCTTTTTAAACTTAGAATTCACTGTTGTTTTAACAGTAAGCTGGTTTGCCCTGGTCTGTTTTTAGACAGTGTAGTTGGTGAGATCAGTATCCTCTTAAGCATCATCATCACAGTGGTGCCGGGGGGTGCCCACAGAACAGAGCCTGTCTCCGAGGATCTTATCTGGACAGAGCTTTATAAATACTGCAGCCACAGTACCAAGTGTGTATGGAAGTTAATTTAGAATCTTTTCTTTGGAAGGAAGTTTTAAGGCACTCAGAATAGAAGTATGTAGTTCTAATTGTGAACATTTTCTTCGGAAGTTTGAAATCACTCAGGATAGGAGTGTATTGTTCTAATTATGATTGTCATCTCTAGAAGTTTGAAGTCAGGATAGGAGTGTATCGTCTCTGTTCTTTTTCACCGATCTGCTGTTATACTCAATAATGGCAGGCCAAGCTGCATGTGGCATTGAGTTGGGGGCAAGGGTTTGTGTTTGTGGTATTAGCTCTGCCTCTAATTTTGTGTAATCTCGGGCAGAGACTTCACTTCTGTGGGCTCGGGCTCTGGATGTCCTTAGGTGGGTCAGTAGCTCACATTTACTGTGCATGTGTGGAGTGCCAGGTGGGCACAGGACTTTCAGGATTTTATTTAGTTCTTACAGTAGTCCTGTGAGTTAGAGCAGGGATCAGCAAGCGACAGCCTATGGGCCAAGTATGAGCTCTGCCTTTATTTGTAAATAAGGTTTTATTGGAACACAGGCACTCCCATTTGTTTATGTGTCTTCTCTGGTTGCTTTTGTGCTGCAGTGGCAGAGTTGAGTGGTTGGCCCACAAAACCTAGAGTGTTAACTGGGCCTTTCCAAGGGAGGTCTCCTGACCCCCGGCGTACAGAAAGAAGATCGATAGTTTGCCGATCCCTGAGTTGGAATGTCCCTATTTTATAGATAGGGGACTGAACTCCAAGAAGTTGCAGTTGTGTGGCTGCTCCTTGACCCCAGACATGCTGGCCCTGAAGGTCATGCTCCTGTCATTCCACCAGGATTGCCTTCCTTCCATCTTCAGTATCTTAAGGTGTTGCTCAGACATGTTTTCGGTGTAGCTTAATGCTGTTCTCTCTGCTGCATTCAGGAGGTTTCTCAACTCGACCATTCGTGAGAAGCGTCCAGCGTCAGAGCATGTCATCCAGATCTTCTGTCACCAGCCCCTTGGCCGTTAACGACAATTGCATTAGACCTTCTTGGTCCCTGTCTGCTAAGCTGCAGATGCGCTCCAATTCTCCTTCCCGGTTCTCAGGAGACTCTCCGATCCACACCTCTGCCTCCACCTTGGAGAAGATCGGGGAGGCGGTGGATGATAAGGTCTCCATCTCTTGCTTTGGCAGCTTGAGGAACCTTTCTAGCAGTTTCCAGGAACCAAGTGATAGTCACGGCCGACGTGAGCACAAGGCTGTGGGTCGGGCCCCTCTGGCTGTCATGGAAGGCGTGTTCAGAGATGAATCAGACACCCACAAATTGAACTCCGGTGTTTTAGACACACAGAGCAAAAACTTAGCACAAGGGGATTGCGTGCCCCCCATCTCCGATCCTTTTGATAATAATAACCAGATTGCTTATGTGGATCAGAGCGATTCTGTAGACAGCTCTCCAGTCAAAGAGGTGAAACCCACGAGCCACCCAGGCTCCCTTGCAAAGAAACCAGAGAGCACAGCCAAGAGCTCTCCCAGCTCCAAAGGCGCTTCTGAGCCAGATAGAAGCTTGCGGAAGGGGAGACCAGTCTTGGCAAGCCAGGAATCATCTCTTTCAAGTACGTCCCCTTCTTCTCCTGTTCCTGTAAAAGTTTCTATAAAGCCCTCCCGCTCCCGAAGCAAAGCAGATTCTTCTTCCAGAGCCAGTGGACGGCATTCCTCCCCTGGCCCTGCCCAGCCTAGAAAGGAGTCCTCCCCCAAATCCCAAGACTCCATGTCATCTCCTTCACCCCAGAGGCAGAAGTCCTCTTCCTCCCTTGCCTACACTCCTTCCTCCACATCTGCCAAAAAAGCCCCCGGCCCTGCTGCAAGGGGCCCCTTCCCTCCTGGGAAGAGCAGGACTTCAGACAGGAGCTTGAGTAGAGAGGGCTCCAGACAGAGCCTGGCTTCCGACAGAGCCAGCGTCACCTCCAGCTCCAAACCCAACTCCCCTCGGGTGAGCCAAGCCAGGGTGGGGGAGGGCCGAGGAGACGGAAAGCACGTCAGGAGCTCCTCTATGGCCAGTCTGCGCTCCCCCAACACAAGCATGAAGACTGGTCTGAAGAGGGACAGCAAGTCAGAGGACAAGGGGCTATCCTTCTTCAAGTCAGCCTTGAGACAGAAGGAAACCCGGCGGTCAACTGACCTTGGCAAAACAACCTTGCTCTCCAAGAAGGCCGGCAGTAGCTCTGCCAAGTTGGCCAGTAAGAATGCCGTGGATGACAAGGCAGAGAAAGGCTACCAGCCTGCAGGTTCCCAGCAGCCAAATGCAAGTGCAGTTGGAAAAGAGCAGCTTGTCTCCAAGGACCCTGCTTCCGCTAAACATTCCCTGCTGTCTGCTCGCAAATCTAAGTCTTCCCAGCTAGATTCTGGAGTGCCCTCATCTCCCGGTGGCAGGCAGTCTGCTGACAAATCCTCGAAAAAGTTATCTTCTAGCATGCAAACCTCTGCACGGCCTTCTCAAAAACCTCAGTGATGTTTCTGCAATCCAAGTGTTTTATCTGTAAAGATGTTTATTTATTTAGAACCCCTTTCCCCCCACCAAAGCCCTCTATGCTTTTGTTTTATATGTTTTAGGTCACGTGCCTGACGTGCGAGTGTGTGTGCGTGTGTGTTTGTGTGTATGTGTGTGTGTAGAATTCAACTGCAAATTGTTAAAAGCGTCGCCTTATTCTGCCATTGAACCAAATAACAGCCATAGGCAAAGTATTGATACCAAGCTAACTGGAATCATTGTAGACGAGACCCTGGGCGGTCCCTTTAGCAATTGTACATATTTCTTTCTAGAGAACTCTAATGACTTTCGTTGGACACTAGGGTTTGGAAACCTGTGAACCAGTTAAGCTGTCATTAGTGTGTGCTGTAGAGGGATCAGTTATTTGACTTGGGTTTCATCTGAGCAGGATTTGTCCTCACAGCTGATTGTCATGTGGCACCAGGAGCTCTAAAAACTGTGACACTAACAGACAAACTGAGAGAAGACTGTTGCTTTCTGCACTTTGGCCCCATCTACCAGTCTCTGTGAAGGGCAATATTTTAACACTAATGTTTCTCAGGTATATACTCAGCTAGTCTAGGGTGGATGCGCATCAGCAAGAGGGTTAACCAAGAAGGTGGCCTGTGGGTGACTGTCCTTTCTCCAACTGCCACAGATAGAAGTTTCTGGAGGTAGAAATGAAGTCCTTCATAACTGCAAAGATGTGTGTACTACACGCTATCTTGGTTCTTTGGAGATGTCCTAAGGGGTGGCAAGTTGGACAGCCAGAAAGCCAGTCACTAGTTAATTTTGTTTTCCTTCTAAATTTGCTAGCTAAGGCCATTGGGATTTTGAAATGTAGTAGAGCAGTTAACACCTTTGAAAGATGCCTGGAAAAAAAAAAAAGGATTCTGAACCGGATGCATGAATTTGTACCATTTCCCTTCTCTGGTGTTGCTTGTTCCTTGTGTTAGAAGCCAACAGCTCCATGCTGCCCTGGGTGCACATGCCCACATTTCTTATACCTTGGGGAGAGGAAAGATGTTGCCTGATGCCAAAAGTCAGTTGATGGTGTGTTGGAGTGATGTGTGACAAAGTATTACATGTGTGCTTCTGATCTGCCTGGCAAAGTTACAGGCTGCTTTTCAGTAAATCATTTATTTTTTCTTAGTGGTTAAGATTTCATCTCTTACCCAGAACTCACAAGCAGGATTGGAGCATGTTCCGTCTGGCATTGTCAGTGAGAAAACAAGGGAACCACACAGAAATCTCACAGATAAGCAAGATCATAGTTCTTCAGGCTTTCTGGAGGTATCCTGGAAATTCTTAGCCTTTTTTTTTTTTTTTTTCCATTTTTCTATTTTTCTTTTTTTTTTTAATGTCAGGAGAGCCATGGTCCTGATTCTCTTTGAATAGCATTTGTCACTTTGCCATGAGATACAGCATGCTAAGTTTATATGCTTTTAAATATTAACTTTTAAAAAAAATCATAAACTTTCCAGTTCTTCCTGAATTCTTGGTGCACAGATCCATTTATAATCTCCCTTTTCAGTATTGCTGTGTGTGAAGTAATTAGAGCACATACACATGCACAGCTATGAATTCTGCGCTGCCTTTTGTTTTGTTTTCTCCCCATAAATACCTCTTGGGAAATATTTCCAGTAGGTTTCTTAACTTTATTTTGCTGCTATTTGAGCATTAGCAGGTAACTTACAAGTCTGGAGGCCATTTTATGTTGAGGGTAGCTGGAATTTTAGACCCTTGCAATATTTAAGACTTAGATACTCAGCCTTGTGAAAGTTACCTTGTGCTCTGTGAATCTCATTGAACGTGAGCCTGTTGCCCAGTGCACTCAGTCCTTTACTCGCCCCTGCACCAGGTGTCCCTGTTGCACTGCGCAGGTGGCTGTGGGTTCCTAAAGCAGCATCCCTCTCCTTTGTCGTAGTGTAACTGCCGCTGACTGGCTGCCTGCAGTGGTGTTATTGCTGCCAACAGCACACCAACAGCCCTGCGAATGTTTTGCCACCGCTGGTTTTTCTGTGTTGCTTTTATTTCCTGGAAAGTACGCACCAATAATGGGATCGTCAGTTGCAGGAGTTTGATTTGAGCCTTTTTCTTTTAATAGGTAAATCTCATTTGAAATCTCCTACCTGAAGCTCTGAAACAGTCTTAGAATTAAAGTTTGACTACACAGAGGGTTTTAATAACACCTTTTCCTGAGGCTGTTATCAGTTAAGCATTAATAGAATCTGGTTTAATTTTCACGTGGCAAATATTTTTATTCTTGTATCCTCCAGGAATGGATTTCCCATTATGTCTAGTGTCTTAAGCACACACACACACACACACACACACACACACACACACTCCAAAAAACACCTCTACAAATTTCTTTAATTTTCTATGGTATCTAGAAATAAAATTTCGGTATCAGTAAATTATATGTCTATGGAGTTTAGTCCTTCTTCCAGATTTAAATGAAAAAATACTGTGGTATTGTCAAGGTAACTTTAAGCTATTCTTTCTGTGCTTGGTAAACAATGAAAATCTCATCCCCAACTACTAGGTATAACCTTTAAGACACAGAAAAGGAGATTTGCCCAGAAGTTTGGAGGTGAAATATCTTATGGGAAAATTATTACTTGGTTCAATTCAGTTGTTTGGTAGGTTAGGGACTTGGTGTTTGCTTTGCTTTTTATTTTCCTGGTAGCATTTGGCACAGAAGCACATCTGCTTTGGGGTTAAAAATCATCTGTTGAGGATGGTGGGCCTAGGTTTCTGGTTGACAACTGAGTGGGCCTGACTAGAGCAGTCATTTCCTGGTGGACACAGAATAATCCCTGACAGTAGCGTTACTCTGTAATGTTTGTTTGCTTTTAAAAAACTTTATTTTTGATTTCTTTTCCTGTAAACATGCAGTGCACTGAGGCTATTCCATTCCTTAAGACAGCCCTACACCTTGCCTTTGTAATCTCTTATATAACGTGGAAGCACAAAGAAACTGCTAAGCTCACGTCATCTCAAGATCATCTCCCAGCCCTTGTATTTTCCCATCCTAAAAGCAGCCTAACTGAAAGTAAGTCATACCTCGCTGGACCAGTAGAAGTGGATGTGGGCGTATTTGTGGTCTGGGAAAACATTGTAATTATCTGTGAGGCTGTCCTAAACTCTTGCAATCATTCTTTCCTCTCTCATTCATTCATTCTGCAAACATTCGTTGAGGGCCTGCTTTGCTCATAAAGGCAAGCTGAAAGCTTCAGGAATTTGCTGTAGCTGAGGAGCCCTGGGAACACAGCCGATGAACCAGGGGATGCCGGTGAGGCCCTAGATGGAGTGACGGTCCCCCGAACAAAAAGATCAGGTGGATTCTGGTGAACCGGCCAAGGCCTGTGGTCCTCTTGAGCAAGTCTCTCCTGTTCTGGAAACCAAAAGTGCCCTTCTTCATCTTCAGAGACATTTTACTCTTACATCCACTTTTTCAGACTGAGCTGTCTCTACGAGTTAGCAGTTGAAAATCCATTACAGAATCACTTTCCATTAGAATTTGGTCATCCACATTTGTTTGAAATAGATGTGGGGATTGGAGGGTGGGGGACAAATTGCCATCCCTCTAAATAGCTATCATGCTAAAAAGTAGGAACAGTATGTAAAGGAAGCAGTAGTGGCAGCCTTTAGGAAAAATGGAACAGAGAAGAGCTGTGAACAAAGCTCACTTATTTCAAATAAACATGTTTTTAAAAATAGATTGACATCTGATGTTACATTTCATTCTGACAAATTACTGAACAGCTGACGTTATTGTTTCCTATGTAGGTTATTAGAATTATTGGATGCTATGATAATTAGTGTTTCTGGGTTGGATTTTTGAGATAGTATGCAAATCATAAGCACAGTTTCAATAAAACACATATTCTGTGAGGCATGTTGAACTTGTATTATTTGGAATTGAGAAGAGCAAAACTTGCTGACAAAACAGTGCCCGTATCATAAACAGAAAGTAGCTGTTCCTGCACAGACTGTCCGTCTTTACTTTCATAAAGGGTACATAATTGTTAAACCTGACTACATCTTTTGGGGGGAAATCCTATGCTTTTATTTAAATGAACACTTAGTGTTTCACACTGCCTTTTGATCAACTCTCAAAGTGTTTGTTTTGCAGCTGCAATTTGAGCGTGACCGGTCATTTCCGCACCCCCCACCCCAAGTAATGAAAACAATTTTGCATGGCCTCCATCTAACCCAGAAAGCATGTTCTTACCACCTATGCAAACAACGAATACAAAATGTGGGGTACACTAAATGTGAATTTTAAAAAAGGCGATTCTTGGATTATGGAGCTCTATTTTTGAATTTGTAATTTTTTACATGTGGCTTAATCATCAATAGAGAAGAGCATGAATGTGTTTTCTTGTTTTGCTTTGCACATGTTTCTCTTTGCTGATTTTTTTTTTATCGTTGGCAAGATTGTATGAAAATAAGTATTTTGCAAGCACGAGTGGAATTGGATATGTTGAACACACACGGGTTTATATACTGTATTTAGCCTGAAGACTTTCCTAAAGTATTTTGTTCTAAAAATAACCTGCCATTTTCTATAGATTTTAATTTTTTATATCTTCTAGGGTTTATCGTGGTCACAAGGAGAGAATGTGGCTTCCAACAGTGCTAACAATTTTAAAATGCTTTTGTAGAGACTTAGAGCTGTTTTGGAAAGCTGTGGAGCTTCGCAGCCACTGGTCACAATAAGAATAAGCTCATGGAACTTATGGTAGCAGTCTACAGTGGATTAGGTTCTAGATCCATCTCACATTCATTTAAAAACTGGTGTTTCCCAATTTTGGAGGGAAGGGAGATCCATTGCAGGCTCGGGAGGCTTTTTGAGTCTCATACGTGTACTTTCCCCAAGATTCTGTTAAGCCTCTTCTGAATGACTTGTCTGAGATTCTGATACCCAGCATTCACTAGAATCATCTAGAGAACTTTTAAAAATGCTTGGGTCC